GGTTAATCTTTGGATTATGGTAACTTGGCGATTTTTTGGCGAAACTTTGGCGACCAACCCTGCTACAGCAACCTACTAGTTTTGTTTTGGATGCCATTTTGTTTTCTCGAAGTAAAGGCATGGTTTTTTTTTTTACTCAACATTTAATTACGCTTATATTAGAACTTTTATGGAACAAAAGTGCTTAATCATGACGAAGATTAGGTGCGAAATTGGGAGAAAGTGCAGAATCGCCCACTGCTTGCCGCGTTTTTAAGAATTGCACATGCACGGTATCCATGTACACGTCGGCCTATTTTCACTTAAAAAAACATCCCAGAATTGCACAAAAATGGCATGGCGCACACTCTTGACTTTATCCACGTACACTGCTAAAGTCCTAGCTAGTAACCTTTATCGCCTTACCAAAATGTCGCCAAACTACCTGTTACCATATTCCAAAGATTAGCCGAGAAATCTTGTAGCATATCCAAAAATATATTATAAAATTCCCTGAAAATAAAGTGAGATCATAACTATGCAATCTACCCCAATGAGCACCATATCATGCTATAAAAAATTCTTATGAAAGAACATCTGATTAAATATACACTGTAAATTTATTTAATAATAGACAAATAGTAAAAGATGCATGCAGTATTAAGCAATGAAAAATCCAGCAAATCATTACAATGTTATAAGATATTAATTATTAAGTTAAACATCATTAATTCACATCAACAAGAAGTTTGCCATTCAAATTTTTGAAATATGAATGCCAAAACAGGCTTATCATTGTAGCCCCTGATTTGAGGTCTACAAAAATAAACATGATTTAGCCAGTTGTTTTGGCTTACGGCAAAGGATTTCGATTAATGTGCCTTGAACTACTACTTTGTTTTGGTTTTTTTATCCAATCTATTAATGCTTGGCAGTCTGAATCTGATTTAAATCCAGGTGGTTGTTCCATGTAAATTGGTTTATTCAAGTATCCATTTAAATATGCAGTTTTTACATCAAAAATCTTATTTTGTAGTTTTTGTAAACATCGTAATTTTCTTATTGATGGATCTTTCAACTAATTTCCAGACTTCATGAGCCTCCATTGAACTTAGTTCTTCTATCATTTCATACATCATACTACATAATCTTTTTTCATTGTTCTCGCTCGTCTTTTTCTTCTGCTTTAGTTTTGGTAAAAATTACTTTTAAATCATGATCTACAATTTGTTTATCTTAAAGCTTATCTAATTGAAGCCATATCTTTCTCTTTATTGGATATTTTATTTATTTTATACGTGGAAATGTTCATCTTTGGAAAGGGTATATACTTTTTCGCGATCAGGTAATTTCATATATATATCCATGGCTCAATTATGCACAGTTTGCAAATACTAATTATTTAACTTTAAAATTACGTAAAAAATTCACCTAAATTCCAGAATTATTTAATTTACTCATTTTTCTTTTTTGGTCATTGGTTTCCTTTAAATTGTTATTTTTAACCTTACAGTAATTATTCAGCAATATATTGGAAATGCATGTGGCACAACTTTTCAACAAATCATGCAATGATTTGCCACACTCACAAATACTATCATCCCAAATAATCCTGTTTTCAACTTTCTCTGTGATGAGACTTATTAATATAGAACGTTGATTTTTTGATGAAATATATAATTTCTCATACATTTCAGATATTAGGATTGAAAATATTTTAAATGCAGAGGTATTAATGAAAAGCACAAATTCTGTTGGCCAAAATAAACCACCTCGATCAATAGCAGCTAAGTATGCAAAATCTTCACAATATTCAACTATTAATTTCTTTGTCAAGAATTAATTTTTTCCTGCAAAGATTACAATTTATATGCTTCAATACAGATCTACAAACATATCCAGAAATGTAAATTAGACACATTATATCTTTTTCTGTAACATTAACATCATTGGATTGATGCAAAACATCAACAAATTCCTTATCAATAAGTTGATCATCATTAAAATCTTCAATATCATTACAAGAAAAATGTTGTAAAATAATAAAACCTTTCTCAGAAGACTGCATTTTAAGCAAACTAATTAATTTTAGTTTTCTTTCCGACTCTATAATCTGCTGTAAGGATACATTATAATTACAGCCACTCATTTGTCGAAATTGACCGAAACGTCCCTCAAGGTTATCTGTCTGAAATTTTCCTAAAAGAATAAAAGGTAATTTAAATTCTTTTAACAAATACTTTGAAAGTTCATTCAATGTTGCTGTTGTATGGAGAAGAGCAACTTGGGTTTCTTTTGACAGTTTCCCAATTTGTGACTTACAGTTTTTTGTTGTTGGGCAAAAATCGTTCCATGATATAAGCCACGAACAAAACTGTGATAAATATTCTAAGCTTTTATCTTCTGGTGTCCTTATAGGCTGCATAAATACATCTCGAAACTGTAAGGCCTTTTTAGAGTGTTTAACATTCACAATTTTCCACCACTTTAAAATTATATCAATAAAATGTTTAGTTTCTAAGACATCTTTTCCATACCCAGTTCTATTATTCTGTGATTCAATTTGCAGAGCAGCTAAAGTCTTTTCATCAAAAAGTTTAATAGCAGTACTTACATTCTGCTTCTCTATAGAAGACGGAAATAAAACTTTTCTTGATAAAGTTGGAGCCATTTTAAGATTATCATTTTTTTTTCATTTCATACAATTTTTTTAAATGTAGAACACTGGAATTGTAAACAATATTTGAGTTTTCAAATGACGGTATAAAAAATGTTTGGTTTGAATCTTTCTGATTGAACCAGTTGTTTCGTATAGATTTCAATAAATGAACTGTATCAAATAATATAAATATAGGAAGATTATGCATGGTAGGGTTTATAAATGAGGATTTTAATGCACCACCACAAAGCATTTCGAACATATTTCTGTTAATTCTATTATTGTCTGATATTAGAGTTATAATTCGATAGCCACAAGACTGTACATGGTCAATTACTTGTTTTGTAAATATTAATAATTGATGTGATGATAAGTTTTTTACGGGAAACATTGCTACAATATCTCTGTTTTTTGATAATATAGAGCTTATCATAAATGTTTGCAGAGTTGTGGCCTCCATCTGCGAATTATCCGAAAAACCTAAAACACGACCACTTTTATACGAAACTTGTGGTTTTATATATATCTCATCTAATAATAAATTGACAATTTTTTCAGAATCATTTAAAATTTCACATTTTTTTTTTTTTTTTTTTTTTTTTCAAATACATCCAGTGACTTGTTTGTAATCCAGAATCTGCTCGGCCAATTTTCAGAGATAACTTCCTTAAGTATGACGGATGAGGCAATATAAAATACTTACTGTTACGTATAATATTGTAGCTGTTTGGATTACAATAAAATATATAACAAGACCAGGCAAGGAATTCTGCACTATACGAAGGCTGTTTCATTTGCATTAATTGAATCTGTTCATACAAAAACTTAAATTTCTCAGAATGTGGGTTATTTTCTGTTTCTGCACATTTCAACAGTAGTTTTGATATTTTATCTAAATTTAAATTGCAGTCATCATGAATATCAGAAGCAGAAAAACCATCCAAATGGCTAATCATTGTCTCAAGTTTAGACCATTTATCACATAGCTTTTCTTCTCCAAATATCCATTTGAACTTTTCAATGGGAATTTCATTTTCATTGAAAAAAACTCTTACATTTAAATCTTCCAATATTTTTAAAGATACAAGCACTTTTGGACAGTTTAAAAATTCTAATTTCGATAGCCAAAAGATCTTACCTTTGGTAATGAATATCCATGAAGAGGGAAGATCTATTTTTTTTTTTTTTTTTTTTTTTTTGCAAACCATTTATTAGGTTTTCAAAATCGCTAATAATATCATTCTTTTTCCACTGTTCAAATTGTTTATCACAACGAATATCAATTTCTGCTTCTCTTTCTTCCGGTGTTTTTCTTTTTGTGGGAAGTTTCTTCGATAAATAAGATGGCTGGTTTTGAAAAATCGTTGGATAAGCATCTTTTTTTAAAGCTGGAATAGTTCTAGGAACTACTAATACCGTCCCATCATCACGAACAGCTTTATCTTCTCGAACGATAAATTCTTCTTCGAAATGCTTAATGCATACACTACTGTGTTTGCCAGCTACAAAATCTTTGCGATTAATATTTTTTATCCATTTCTGAGAGAGTACAGGATCCGAAGGAAATTTGAAAGTGGACACATGTTCAGTAGTGCTATCGTAATTTGATCGGCATTTAGGTACACTACACTTTCTTGGCATTCTAAAACACACTTTTTCTTATAAATTCGAATTCACAATATAATATTTTACTTTCCGGTAAAATACAAAATTTTTCAGAAGAAAAAACACATGTAAACAATTATCTCACTAGCACTAGTCCTACGGCGAAGCAAGCTCAACCTACAAAATTGAAAGCCTAAGATTATGACGTCAGATCATGTGATCATCAGATTGGAGCAGGCCTGTAGATACTAGTTGGCCTTGATGTGGCTCGCGAGCCGCAGGTTGGCTACCCCTGGTCTATTCTAACTAAGGCTCCTATATAGCCTTTAGAGGAGCCTTATTCTAATCTCCTTGGTACCACATCTTCCAGAATTGTAGAAATTTTGCTGCCCGATGCAGTCGAGCCGGTCTTGCAAGAACTTATCCTTAAAATATTAAGTTCGGGAAACCTCTTGTAAAAATTAAATTCAAATATTTATTTAAGCAATTTTTCTATTGCTCAATTGCTAATTTTATTGCTTACTTATGCAGCGAAAGTAATTTTTTTTCAATTCTGTCACTACTCCTGGAATAAAGATTAAAAGTGAAACTCCTTGAGCTTAGCTGTAATAGAAAATTTAATGCCTTATATAAATTTGGGAAATTTTTAATATTTTAATTGTAAAGTTCTTTTCAGGATGAGCCTTATATTTTTCAGGAAAAAGATAGAAGAAGAAAATACAATATGACAGGTGGAAAAATCACTATAACCAATACGTGATTTCGGTCAGTTACAAAAACACGTCACGCGATTGAAGAGCTCTTGACTACGTGGTGCTGTGGAGTGTTGTGAGTTGGACGATATTGTGAAGTTTGTTATTAATATTTAAAATCAAAAATGGTTAACACTCAACGAATGCGTATTGCTAACGAAAAAGCAAGCAAAAATGTCACCCAGAGAGGAAATGTACCGAAAACAACGGTTTGTATCTGTACTATTAATCACTGATGTTTGTAAGAAATGTTGACGGGGTTTGCTTTCGAAATTAGTATTTTTGATGTTGTTTGTAACCTTTAATTTAGCACTATTGATTGCATAAAATTTGAAATTTCATTTTTTTTCTCATATTCACGATCTGTTTTATGCCATATGTTGTATTAATTTTATTGCGTCATGTTATCAATAGCTGAATATTCTAGATCAGTATCTGCTGAATATAACAGGTATAAAAAACGATATATTCATAAGGTCGTTATGGACGCTCTATAAATAATTTATAAGGTATTCATAAGAATAATAATTATATAATCATTTTCAAAAGGAGATTTAATCTGAAACAACTGTTTTCATGTTATCAGTGAACTACTACTAGCAACAATATATGTTCCTATTTAATGTTTTGTGAGAGCTTATAAAAAATCGCTTTCAATAAAGAGTATAAACTTGCTTATGATACTAACAGGTATCTGTTTACAAGCCTTTTATCTGTAGACGATGCTCAAAAGTGATGGATTATTATATTGAATACTTGCAGTACTGCATTAAAGAATTCATTTCAATGAACTTTGATTTCATTTCCTTTTATATGCATTTTTTGAACTTAAGGCATGGATAGAATTTGTGTTTGCAGTTGCTAACAAAGTTTCTGAAATTTCATTCAACAGTTGGGTTGATTTATACAGTGTCTTTAGATTATCTATGTTAAATTTAAAAGGAAAAAAAAAAAAAAAGTTGGTATTTTTTAAAAATGTGTGTGTGTATACATTCAACATGTTGTATACTTTATTGTATGTATAATTTATTTATTGTTTATTGCCATATGCAAGTTCAACAAAAAGGGCAGGTAAAATCCTAGGAGAGCCCACACCCTTGACAACAAACTGGAAAAGTGCAGAATCACCCAATTTTTCGCACGTTTCTCCGATTGCCAACTTGAAAATAACAAGTCAAAGAATTGCAGAAACTTTGTATCCATGTACACATCAACCTATTTTCACTTAAAAAAATATCCCAGAATTGCCCAAACTTGGCAGTGCAAACTCCCTTGACTTTATCCATGTACACATCAATATGTGCCATATACGTGAGCGTGCCAAGGGTGTGGGCTCTGCTAGGATCCAACCAAAAGGACATTACCCGATTGTCTACATCCAGTCAAAAAGTCATGAAACCGTTGTTCAGCATGGATAACATTCGCAGATTAGTTGCTGACTTAAAGGAGAAAACCACTTGTTTGGAAACCTTCATGTCTATTTCAATGATGTTATTTAGTGCCGTAAGTTTTTTTATGTTCTTTTATCGTATAAGACATGAACATTTTGGGGGCTTTTTTCCCTTGGGTGGGGGTAGTAGTATACTGTGCTCTCAATGTATGAATTGATCTATTTTCACTAAAAAAGAAAAATCAGAATTCCATAAACTCAACAATGGATATAACTTTGGCACTAGATTTTCCTAAAATGAAAAGAAAGAGTTATATCTTTAACAAAGCAACATTATCATCTATTCGAACTGAAAAAAAGGCCTGAGATTTCACAGATGAGAACAAATACTGTAGTATGTTATCCATCGAGCCACGTTATTGTCTATTTGAACTGAAAACAAGGCCTGAGATTTCACCGAAGAGAACAAATACTGTAGTATGTTATCTATCGCTATAACTAAAATGATAATGTTTTCATGAGAAGGATCATAATTTGCAGTCACACTTTTAAAAATGTTTGAAGAAGTGGAATGCCATCTGGGAGTTGCTGCAGGCATACTGGGTTGTCACATAAATACTTTTTGGCAACATCAGAAGTTACCTCCCCTTACCAATACTTTGTTATGACTTTTTGGTAGAGATGCGAATAATCGAAGCATTGTTAAAAGTTTCATACACTAATAGTTTTATTTAAAATTAGATGACTGTGTACAGACCGATTATAATTTTCTGTCGCATTAAAGTGCATTTTTTACTGCTTTTAAGTAAGGAGTTTAGCAATGTACCTTTTAATATTACGACCATGACGGGTTGATCTTTACATTATGGTAACTTGGCGTTTTTTTGGCGACCAACTCTCCTACAGCAACCCTCTATTTTTTTTTCCCACCGCCATTTTATCTTCACGAAGTAAAGACATGTTTCTTTTCTTTTTATCTACTGAACAATTCTTCCAATAATCTACTAGCCGAATTACACTTATGCTAGAAATTTTGTCTAACAAAACTGCTTAATCATGACAAATATTCACTGCAAAATTGGGAAAAAGTGCACAATACCATACTCCTTACGCGTTTTTTTCAAAATAACACATACACATAAACCATGTACACGCCGACTTTATTTTTACTTAAAAAACATCCCAGAATTGCACAAAAATGGCATTGCGCACACTCTTCACTACTATATCCATGTACACTGCTTTTTTCTCATAAATTCGAAAAATTTCACGAAAATACATGACAATTTTCTCAATCTTTAAAAAGAACATATATGAAATTACCTGATCGCGAAAAAGTATTTACCCTTTCCAAATATGAACATTTCCACATATAAAATAAATAAAATATCCAAAAACTTTTACCTCTAAATCATCTATTACATTATACACGTCACCAACGAATTCATACCGCAAGCATTACAAATACTTAGTATCAAATATTTAAATTATTTCCATGCACGTTTACTTCAACTTAAACGTATACCAAATTCCTACAAACATAAAATTCACAAAATAACTATCATTTAATTAAAATATCACTAAACCATGTACACGTCGACTTATTTTTACTTAAAAAAAACATCCCAGAATTGCACAAAAATGGCATTGCGCACACTCTTCACTATATCCATGTACACTGCTTTTTTCTCATAAATTAGAAAAAATTTCACGAAAATACATGACAATTTTCTCAATCTTTAAAAACCCGGTAAAAAGAACATATATGAAATTACCTGATCGCGAAAAAGTAATGAACATTTCCACATATAAAATAAATAAAATATCCAAAAACTTTTACCTCTAAATCATCTATTACATTATACACGTCACCAACGAATTCATACCGCAACCATTACAAATATTTAGTGTCAGATATTTAAATTATTTCCATGCACGTTTACTTCAACTAAAACGTATACCAAATTCCTACAAACATAAAATTCACAAAATAACTATCATTTAATTAAAATATAATTAAATTCAAAAACACTACTTAAAATATAAATGAGCACATACATTAAATTAATACATACATAAATACCCATTTCGAATTCACTTTAGTTACGGCCATGGGATCCAAAAATTCACGAACACTGTTTCACACAACACAGAATAAAGCCAAATACAAAATTTCCAGATTTTTTCCCGATTTCTCCCCTTTTCCGATTAAAGAACCGTAATTCGTCCATTAATATCACATGACATATCCCATGATCTCTCATTTCCCTCACACAAAATAATGCGTAATCGGAACTTAGTACTGCTCACATTATTACCAAAGTGCCATGTAGTAACCTATATTGCCAAACCACCAGTTACCATATTGTAAAGATCAACCCCATGACGTTCTTCATTTCCTCATCTGATGAGAATCCTTTTTCTAGTCGTTTGTTTTCTCGGTGATAATAATGTTCCAAATTCATTCTATCAGCCTTCTTGATCTGTATAGGGATCTTATAGCGGACAGCAGCACTAGCTTCCGTACTGCTGCGCCTTGCTTGAAGTTCCAGAGAATGTTCTCTTAAGTGGTTTAATAAAGGGAAAAGAGAGCTGGGAGGCCCTTGAACCTGTCCCTGGAATTTCTTCATCAAAATTAGGGCAAAACTGTATAGCTAGTGTAATGCAGTGGCGGATTGGCCAAAGAAATCAGCCCCTGGCAGTAAAAAATGTATCGGCCCTAAGGCCCCATACAAAATATCATAACACGTATAAGTTATCGTCATCATCATAATAAAAAATAATTTTATAAAATAAAAATATACCTTTGCAGAAAAGTAACACTTTATTCATATTACATATATATATATATATATATTAATTGCAGGTTTAACACTGTAAATTTTTTGTACATTTCGCTAACCAGACTACTTTGTATAGGATTTTTCTACATCTCTTCAATCATTTTTCCTTTTTAGATTACAAGTTTTTTCTATTTTAAAAAATTGTCTAACTTTCTATGTTCACTTTTGTGTTTGCTCGTGTGCAGGCACATCGAGAAAAGGGACAGATTAATTGAGACATCATTAATAATAATTTTAATTAAATTTTTATACTAGGAAAACGATTTGTCTCAAATCTGTTCGACGAAATGGGCTTATTTTCTGGTAAATTGGCTTGGTTGGAAGTTTCAAGCAGTTTTCCCTTGACAAGTTCTGTGCGAGGCCTTGAACAAGGTGGATTGGCCATGTTTTTTCTATATTAATTTTTCTCGGTTGATCTTTACATTACGGTAACTTGGCGATTTTTTGGCGAAAATTTGGCAACCAACTCCCCTACAGCAACCCTCTATTTTTTTTTCCCCGCCGCCATTTTGTCTTCACGAAGTAAAGACATGTTTCTTTTCTTCTTATCTACTGAACACTTCTTCCAACAATCTACTAGCCGAATTACACTTATGCTAGAAATTTTATCAAACAAAACTGCTTAATCATGACAAATATTCACTGCAAAATTGGGAAAAGTGCACAATACCCATACACCTTACGCGTTTTCAAAAATAACACATACACATAAACCATGTACACGCCGACTTATTTTTACTTAAAAAAACATCCCAGAATTGCACAAAAATGGCATTGCGCACACTCTTCACTATATCCATGTACACTGCTTTTTTCTCATAAAATTCGAAAAATTTCACGAAAATACACGACAATTTTCTCAATCTTTAAAAACCCGGTAAAAAGAAACATATATGAAATTACCTGATCGCGAAAAAGTATTTACCCTTTACAAATATGAACATTTCCGCATATAAAATAAAATAAAATATCCAAA